TATATATATATATATATATATGTGTGTGTGTTTTTGTGTATATGTATATATAGAAAGAGAGAGAGAGAGAGGGAGAGAGGGGGTCCATATATGTGTAAATAGATATGGGGACAACAAGTGATGGATGAATGGAGGAGGGCGTTAGGGGTTGTTGGTATTTGTATCACATATTCACATGTGCATTAATTATTTGGTAATTCATGATTTGTGTTGTAAGCCAAGAGCACAAGTTACAGTGACAGGTTGAAATGCACTTTACCTGCATTGTTTGTTTGTAATTTTAGCAATCATAAATATTATTATTCAATCAGTCACGGAATCCACAGTCTACTTAAAATCTTCAACATATCGCCACTAAAACATATATTTCTTTCAAATTTTTGAAAAAATTTCGGTTACGTTAATTTAACTTTATATATCATTTATATTTTATTTATAAAAATCGATATTTATACAATCACATATTTATTTATATCGATAAAATATTATATCTATGCTATATTATAAAGGATTTGACAAAAACTCTTAAAAACAATTTTTTATGCATAAAGTACTGTATATTGATGCATATTATTTAAAATTCAAGATTACAAGTAAATTATACATAAGTACAACTTATTAAAGCTTCATGCTTGAATTCGTGTAACTAACTGCGGATAAACATAATCAAATATAGGATAAATATCTCATTTTAAAATATAAAAAATCTAAAATATAATTTGGATAATTATCGAGTTATAACAAAAATAATTAACTATTATATTTATAAGAAAATTATATTACTAAACCAAATATAAATTACTTCGTTATTGAACTTAAATTAAATTATAATTAAAAATTTTGAATTAAAAAATTACACAAAAAATAATTTAAATAGTTAGATACTAATATCGATATAATTTTGTCAAATTTTTATGATATTTTTAAATTTAGGTTTTATTCAAAAATAAAAACATCATCACTTTTTCAAAATCACATAAGACTATATTATAACATCGATTGAGATAAAAAATAAAACAAAATATTAAGATCAATATGTATCTCGCTGCATTGCGCGAGTAACCTTCTAATATTTTAATTATGTATTTATTTAAAATCTATAAAAATATGTTCAATTATTTTGAAAAGTGAACTATAAAAATTGTATAGAAATATGTATAAATTTATTTATTATTTATTATTTATTTTACATTATTTAATTATTTTTGTTAATATATATAGAGAGGGAGAGAAAGAGATAAAATATTTACTTTACAAACCATGTTATTTGTATAAACCGTACAAAACTCATTCAATTAATCATAATTTTTTATTTTGTTCATTTTTTTTTGTAATTATTAGAGATTGATTAATTATTTTATTATGAAGAGTGTTAATCATGAATATTATCATTTTTATTATATTAATTTTAGAGAAGTACATGAAACAGTTTCATTAGAATTTCATAACCATATATGAAACAACTTCATCAAAAAAAAAAAATTGAAACAATTTCATGAAAAAAAAAATTAAACAATGAAATCACGGATGAAGGTGGTTTGCACGATTTGTACAAAAATGAGTGACTTGCATTTGATCGCTCATATATAAATACACACACACACACACAAACACACACACACATATATATATATATATACAAGGTTGAGTTCATGTGAGACCAACATATATTCGTGAGATTTGTCAGATCATTTTTTTACAATTGAAACTTCACAACAAAATGTTGTGAAGGTAAAAAAAAAAAGCGAACCTCTACAACAAAAACACTGTGAAAGTTACTTTTTTACAGTGTTTTGCTGTGAAGTTTCAAGTATAAAAACATGGTCTCATGGATCTTACGAAAACAAGTTGGTTTCATATGAACCTAAATGTGTATATTTGAACCAACCTATATATAGGGGCTGGTTCAAATAGAAACCAACCATATGGTACAAACTATATGAACCGATCTTGATCGTTCATTTTATCATCAAACGGTTATTATTAAATGAGATTAAATAAACAATAATTTAATTAATGTATTAATTGATATATGTATGAACAATTGTTCAAAGGGTAAATTGGTCAAACGGTCATTATTAAATGAGTATTAAAAAATAATCAATTAATCATTAAATTAATT